AATGTTATGTACAGGTTTTGGGTTGGAGGCAGCACCTGTAAAATGTGTATTTTTCCATATTGCATTATTATTATAATTTCTCTAAGACTATTAGGTATTACAGAAATGTACTTCATCGCATTGTTATATCTCATAATCCTCCTACTTTGCGTCAAGTCATACCTGGCTCCACTGGTGGGGTTACCTAGCACCACCTGAAACATCTTGGGGTAAGGATTGTCTGAAGCTGTCACTGGACTCAGTGATATCACAAGATACTGGCTCTCCTGAGAATAAAATAAAAAGAATCAACATTGTACACACTTTCACTACTACCTGATAATTAAACTCTATGCCACTGGCACGTAAGTGATTCTCATTATTGAAACATTCATTGATCAAAAGTCAAATTCTTTAGCAGAGAGTTTAAACAGTGATAACAAATATGAAAATTTATGTAGTATCATTTGAATATAATTCAGCTTGGTCAGTGATCTACAGCAAAATCCACATGCACACACTACTGCAGCAATATAAGAACTACTTTGTTTTTAAATTTCAATCAAATCTTTTACATACCACATTTGCGTCAAAGAGGAGTTTTCCTGACACAGCACTGTAGTCTGCCTTGTCCAGTGCAGAGTAGACCCTAACACCAGCTATGGACTGAGGTGTGTCCACTGATTTGGTGGCATAGTCCACTTGGACAGTCTGACCTTTGCCCTTGATCCTCTGGACCTCCAGCCGGACACTCCTTTCATTCTTACCAACTGTCTTCAATCTAGATGAAAAATAGATTTGGAATTTATTTCATTTTGGTCATTATTTCCCATGACCCAGTCTGAGATTCAATTTTCAGACAAGTGTAAAATGTAACTTTGAATTATCTATTTTTTGCTATTAATAGTGGAGGATGTCAACTGATACATATATTAGACATAACATTTTGTTTAATAGAGATAAGAACAAGGACCTGAACACTGAAATTACAGAATGAAACCAATGTGACTGAACAAAATAAAATTTGTTGAGATGAAACATCATATTCTATTCTATTAAAATTTATGTTGAGATAAAACATATTCTGTTAATCATTTTATTATTTATCATGTTAACTACATTTAAGTTAACTCTTACAAAGATGTCTGGGCAAACTGCACCAGCCCATCAGGGTAATCACTGGGTAACATGGTAACATTGGCCACTTTGCTGGCATCATTGACTCTGTATCCAGCAGCAGAGTCTTCTGGAGCTGGTAACTGGACAAGGAAGCTTGAAGCATACTCTGGGATCTGTGAAAAGAGAGACAGATATTCCAATACAGCCATTGTAAGCACATACGTACATAGTCAAAGAAACATAGCTATCTGATGTTAAAAATGTCTTTATAACAATTATTCATTTCAAATTCTCAAAATTTCTATTGTAGGCATATGAAAGATAATAATTGTTATGGTGACTGAAATAAGAAAAACGATGTTTATCAATAAGTAAATGCTTCTGTTTGGCTGGCAAGAGTGTGATTTCCTTACATCATCTTTTCTGAGGAGTACATTGAGAGGACATGTGGTTTGCCCCACAGCACACACAGCCTCTCCCTCCACATCTACCACCTGGTCGTCTGCTCCAACTACTTTCCATTTTATCTGAAAAAATAATTTTAAAAAATCAGAGTTACCATTAGTACATATGTGAATAAAATCAAAACAGGCATTAACTACCAATTTTTTGCTTTTAAATTTTGGTAATAATAATAGGATCAATCATGACGATTAAGTGTGTGTCCACGAGAAAACCAAACCAAATGTAGAAAATGCGGCAAGGTGGGGGTGAACGGATTTACATCATATTTGGTGTGTTTGAACCTTTATATGAACAAAATCTGAGGCTGCAATATTTCCTGAAAAAAATCCCTACTTACAGAGATATGGCCAGTGACAATTTGGGGGGTTTATCAACCAAAAATTCTTCTGAAAAACAGGGTTATATTGATTGGCCTTAAAGTTTATACAGGTGTCACCAAATGATTTAGTTTGGTGATATATTATAACCTAAAGATAGGGGATTAAAATGATATACACTTTTTCCACTCTCTTTGTTTCCATAGTAACAAACCAAGCGTTTTTCTCAGGCCTACAAACAACATGCTTTGAACACCCCTCTTCTATTTTTGACAATATCTTCATCTTCACAGGTCTTTAGGGTAAAGCGTGTTCAGGACTAACAGATAACTCATTAATCTATTTATATATGAAATCAAAACTTACTGCTGTTCTACAACTTGTCCGTTGTAACAGATAGAACATGACCTAATTTCTTCATTTTTCGTAAATATATCCGAACACATATATCGGTGCACTGAACTTCAGCTATCTCTTTCAAGTCAACGAATGGTTTAAAACACTGTTAGTTGAACTTTTTATTTTCATTTTACCTATTCTAATTTTTTTCTGGTTAAAACAAGCATCTAACACATTTTAAAATCATGTGAAACTAATGTACTAACGTCAGAACAACACAACGTCATTATCCAACATGGCGGAAATCGCAGACTGTTTGTTTACAAATCTTCCTCAACGAAGTCGTATATCATGTGGTTTATACTCTGTCTACAGATATAAAAAAACATGNCCCCCTTCTATTTTTGACAATATCTTCATCTTCACAGGTCTTTGGGGTAAAGCGTGTTCAGGACTAACAGATAACGCATTAATCTATTTATACATGAAATCAAAACTTACTGCTGTTCTACAACTTGTCCGTTGTAACAGATAGAACATGACCTAATTTCTTCATTTTTCGTAAATATATCCGAACACATATATCGGTGCACTGAACTTCAGCTATCTCTTTCAAGTCAACGAATGGTTTAAAACACTGTTAGTTGAACTTTTTATTTTCATTTTACCTATTCTAATTTTTTTCTGGTTAAAACAAGCATCTAACACATTTTAAAATCATGATAAACTAATGTACTAATGTCAGAACAACACAACGTCATTATCCAACATGGCGGAAATCGCAGTCTGTTTGTTTACAAATCTTCCTCAACGAAGTCGTATATCATGTGGTTTATACTCTGTCTACAGATATTTAAAAAAAATGTAGTGTATTGAAAAATTGCAACATAGATATTAACAGTCATCTTCGTCGTGTTTACGTGAAGCAAAACAGCGTGAGTTACGAAAGCAAACTGATTCTTGTCAGGTGTGAATTCTTTTGTATCCGATGACAGCAGTTGGACTTTTTCAAGTATCTTTGGGAGAATAAATGGGTTACACCATGTGACCAGCACTGGGATATGGGCTTGGTTTGTGCTGGAAATCATCCACACAGGGGAAAACGAGCCTCTAACGAAATATGTCATGTGATTAACTTGCAGATGTCAGTGTAGACAAAAAGGGGGGCGTCTCGATAGTCCGAAGGTTCATTAGTCCGAAGGTTCATTGGTCCGAAAAGTGGTAACATTTTTATCGATTTTTTAATCAAGGGTTCATTGGTCCGAAGGTTCTATAGTGAACATTCGGACCAATGAACCTTCGGACTATTGAACCTTCGGACTATCGCTACGGCCCCGACAAAAAGCCATTTGAATATACTGATGCCACTTGGTTCAGGTAAGAAACGGGTTTGTTGGTATTTTAATACAGGCTAAAATCCAGAAAAAAAGTTCACTCAGAAAAATGATCTAGGTGTAATTTTTAAATGGTAAACGGTCCATTTTTTTAAAAAGAAAAATGCCCCCTTTCAAATAATGAAATTGCAGCCTAAGGACCTGTGATAATTTTATTTTTTAAGCTATATTTGTGTGGGTATTTATGTAGGTTTAATGGTACTTGGGTAAAATAAATTTAAGGGTTACAATTGGAATTAGATTGAAGCTAGGGCTGGTCTTGGCAAAATTGCTAGGCTCATAATAAATATTTGAAACCATGCCTTACTTATAAAACATGGACAAATGGGATAATAATTTATTTTTCATCAATGTATCAATTAACTTTCAGATAAGTGTTTTCATGTGTCTATAGTAAGCTATATTTATATTTCAGGCATATTTGAGAAGTGTTATTTGACACACATAGATCTTATGGTCAGCAAAAGAGTCCAAAGTCTTGCAGAAACTGAAACTAGTGTGGAAATGACGGCTGTTGTAGAAAGGCATGTATGTAAATGAAAGCCACAATATAACAAATGCTGAGGAGATGCATGAGGCCCTAGTTTCTGCAGTTGGAGCCATTTTCTACATCCAGCTAGACAGACATCTTCCAAACCTGCATGGACTGGAGTGTCCAATTACAACAATTTAGCTTTCTTGATTCCTACAACATGAGAAAAGGTGTCTCCCTTCCTTGAGCAGTTTTAAAATGAGTGATACTGATGTTAAAGTTAATTTGGGTTTTTCTGAGGCAAATGTGCCAACTGGGACTATACCAAGCAAGATCACAAACAGGGAAATATTTTCTTGTCCAGAGAAGTTTTCTCTGAAATCTTTTGCTACTAAGACTGAAGAGTATTTGTAAGGTCCTTTTTTAGACCACAGTTATGAAATGTGCCNTATAACAGCACAGTCAATCAACACTAAAATTTAATCATGCACAACAGATAACATGGTCAATAAGATTATAGTTTCAGGATCATGAGAGTTCAAATTCAAATAATGAAAATACCAATATGTGAAAAATGACGACAGTACATAAAATGATATTACATAATGTTTAAAGACATAAATACCAAAACTATTGCTTATGTGGAAATACAGAAAATGTACAGAGCTTTGGGTGGAAAGGAGTTAAAAGTCACATCTTAAAGATGCCAGTGTTTGAAATAAAAAAAAAAATTATAAAAGAAACATAACAAAAAATATTCCAATAAAGCTGCTATTCAAACTTTTAATCATATTGTATTAACACAATATAACTCCACTGAGTTTGAGGATAATAAGGCACTGTTATTAATAATAATAATAATAATAATAAAAATGATAATGATAAGCTTCTTATATGGCGCCTTACATGCTACCTCAAGGCCCCTTACAATAATGGATAATATAACTAAAATCATTAAAATGACTACAATATTTAAGTCTAACTCGCTCATTGGAAACCATTTAAAATGAAGTGTGTGTCCACGAGAAAACCAGACCAAATGTAGAAAATGCGGCAAGGTGGGGGTGAACGAATTTACATCATATTTGGTGTGTTTGAACCTTTATATGAACAATATCTGAGGCTGCAATATTTCCTGAAAAAAATCCCTACTTACAGAGACATGGCCAGTGACAATTTGGGGAGTTTATCAACCAAAAATTCTTCTGAAAAACAGGGTTATATTGATTGGCCTTAAAAGTTTGTACAGGTGTCACTAAATGATTTAGTTTGGTGATATATTATAACCCAAAGATAGGGGATTAAAATGATATACACTTTTTTCACTCTCTTTGTTTCCATGGTAACAAACCAAGCGTTTTTCTCAGGCCTACAAACCACATGCTTTTAACACCCCCCTTCTATTTTTGACAATATCTTCATCTTCACAGGTCTTTGGGGTAAAGCGTGATCAGGACTAACAGATAACTCATTAATCTATTTATACATGAAATCAAAACTTACTGCTGTTCTACAACTTGTCCGTTGTAACAGATAGAACATGACCTAATTTCTTCATTTTTCGTAAATATATCCGGACACATATATCGGTGCACTAAACTATCTCTTTCAAGTCAACAAATGGTTTAAAACACTGTTAGTTGAACTTTTTATTTTCATTTTACCTATTCTAATTTTTTTCTGGTTAAAACAAGCATCTAACACATTTTAAAATCATGTGAAACTAATGTACTAACGTCAGAACAACACAACGTCATTATCCAACATGGCGGAAATCGCGGACTGTTTGTTTGCAAATCTTCCTCAACGAAGTCGTATATCATGTGGTTTATACTCTGTCTACAGATATAAAAAAAACATGTAGTGTATTGAAAAATTGCAACAGAGATATTAACAGTCATCTTCGTCGCGTTTACGTGAAGCAAAACAGCGTGAGTTACGAAAGCAAACTGATTCTTGTCAGGTGTGGATTCTTTTGTCTCCGATGACCGCAATTATCTTTGGGAGAATGAATGGGTTACATCATGTGGCCAGCACTGGGATATGGGCTTGGTTTGTGCTGGAAACCATCCACACAGGGAAAAACGAGCCTATAACGAAATATGTCATGGGATTAACTTGCAGATGTCAGTGTAGACAAAAAGCCATTTGAATGTACTGGTGCCACTTGGTTCAGGTAAGAAACGGGTTTGTTTGTATTTTAATACAGGCTAAAAGCCAGAAAAAAGTTCACTCAGAAAAATGATCTAGGTGTAATTTTTTAATGGTAAACGGTCCATTTTTTAAAAAGAAAAATGCCCCCTTTCAAATAATGAAATTGCAGCCTAAGGACCTGTGATAATTTTATCTTTTAAGCTATATTTGTGTGGGTATTTATGTAGGTTTAATGGTACTTGGGTAAAATAAATTTAAGGGTAACAATTGGAATTAGATTGAAGCTAGGGCTGGTCTTGGCAAAATTGCTAGGCTCATCATAATTAATATTCGAAACCATGCCTTACTTATAAAACATGGACAAATGGGATAATAATTTATTTTTCATCAATGTATCAATTAACTTTCAGATAAGTGTTTTCATGTGTCTATAGTAAGCTATATTTATATTTCAGGCATATTTGAGAAGTGTTATTTGATCTTATGGTCAGCAAGAAAGTCCAAAGCCTTGCAGAAACTGAAACTAGTGTGGAAATGACGGCTGTTGTAGAAAGGCATATATGTAAATGAAAGCCGCAATATAACAAATGCTGAGGAGATGCATGAGGCCCTAGTTTCTGCAGTTGGAGCCATTTTCTACATCCAGCTAGACAGACATCTTCTAAACCTGCGTGGACTGGAGTTTCCAATTACAACAATTTAGCTTTCTTGATTCCTACAACATGAGAAAAGGTGTCTCCCTTCCTTGAGCAGTTTTAACATGAGTGATACTGATGTTAAAGTTAATTTGGGTTTTTCTGAGCCAAATGTGCCAACTGGGACTATACCAAGCAAGATCACAAACAAGGAAATTTTTTCTTGTCCAGAGAAGTCTTCTCTGAAATCTTTTGCTACCAAGTCTGAAGAGTAATTGTAAGGTCCTTTTTTTTAGACCACAGTTATGAAATGTGCCAAAAAAACAGCTTTTGATCAAATTAAAGTCTAGTGGGCCAACAATCTGACTAAAGAAAAACGTAAAGCACATCAGCTGTGAGAGAACTCCACCCTCTTGAATATCTCACCGAGTTACACAATGGATGAGCTTTAAAGTCATCTAAACCTTTGAAACTATATTCAAATAAAGTAAAGAAGTTTTTACTGAAGGAGTTTAGAAGGGCACAAGAAACAGGCCAGCAGAACTTAGCATTTGTGAGCATGAAGATGAGATTGAAATGTCAGTAAGGAGGGTTACAGACTATTCAGGAAGAAAAAATCGGCAGTTATTTTTGAATGTATTAAAAACTTTGATGTTATGAGCTGTAATGTTTGATA